GAGGAAGGAAGGGGAAGGAAGGAAGGAAGAGAGGAAGGAAGGGGAAGGAAGGAAGGAAGAGAGAGAGAGGAAGGAAGGGGAAGGAAGGAAGAGAGAGAGAGGAAGGAAGGGGAAGGGAGGAAGAGAGAGAGAGGAAGGAAGGGGAAGGGAGGAAGGAAGAGAGAGAGAGGAAGGAAGGGGAAGGGAGGAAGGAAGAGAGAGAGAGGAAGGAAGGGGAAGGGAGGAAGGAAGAGAGAGGAAGGAAGGAAGAGGAAGGAAGGAAGGAAGAGGAAGGAGGGCCAGCCTGGGGCAGCTGGAAATGCTCTAGCCTGGGCTGCGTTCCCAGCCCACCCGTCTGCTCTCTGCCCTCAGACACATTCCCGCAGGCACAAGACGGGAAATGCCAAGAACAGGGTGGCCCAGCTGGGCCTGGGGGACAGTGGCGCGGAGCAGCAGGGCTCAGCCTCCCTCGGCCTCCAGGCCTCTCGCCATGCCCCGGCTTGCCTTGCTGGGGCTGCTGGGGGCTCTTTGCAGCCCTGCTCTCCTGCCACGCGAGCCGCAGGTGCCCGGAGGCAGAGGCCTCCCTTGCTGCGTCCTGCTGAGCTCGTGCCGCGTCGCACGTGGGGCTCGTGTGACGCTGCCCTCGTTCTCTGCCACTGCCTTCTCTGCTCCCGCCGCAGTTCATAGTGGAGTGCCACGGGAACACCCTCCTGCCCCAGTTCCTGGGCATGTACCGGCTCACCGTGGACGGCGTGGAGACCTACATGGTGGTCACCAGGAACGTGTTCAGCCACAGGCTGACCGTGCACCGCAAGTACGACCTCAAGGTGAGGGTTGGGGCCGTGCGGGTGGACTCTGCTTTTCGGAATGGTGCCATTTGGGCTCTTTMAGATCTGCTTGACAAGGTCCTGGGCTCTGCTTTTTGCTTGGGGACAGGGAGGGGAAGCTGACTTAAATGTGTTCATTTTTTTTTCCTGTGTGAAGGAGTTAAATGGCATCAATAAATTTTTCAGGAATGCAATAACTAGTGCACCAATGCCCTTTCCTTTATTCTTTTATCAGGGCTCAACAGTATCCAGGGAAGCAAGTGATAAAGAGAAGGTAYGGAGCATCCCTGGCCAGCCTTTCCTTCCTCCTGGTGCTTGGGAGCAAGTGGGATCCATCTGACYGTTCCCATTAGCCAAGGGGTACTGAGCAGGGGAGATTAAATGGGCCTGCAGTGACAACCTGTTCCTGTCCCCCTTCCAGGCTGTGCCCAGTAGCTGCTCAGSAAGAGGTGGTGCAGACACCTAGCAGAGGTGCAGACCTGGTGCTGCCAGGCTTGTTATGGTGGCACTGCCCAGCGGGGAGGGAGCTTCCCGGGGGACAGTTCCCCGGGTACCAAATCCCAAATTAATGGGAGGTTRTTTTCATGGAAGGGTTTCTTCACCATGTCCCCTCTGTGCCAAGCCGAGTCAGATCAGCAGTCAGCTTTTGCAGCAGATATTTGTAAACCAGACCAAGCCCTCTCAGCTTCTTTGAGTATTTTGGGATGTTTGTAAATTTGGGTTCTGGTCCCACAAGGGACCAGAGCTCCACTGCAAAGCTGCAACTGGGAAATTCCTATTGAAATCACAGCTGTAGCTCCTGGTACTGCTCTTTTTTTTTTTTTTTTTTTTTTTTCTTTTCAGATTTGCATTTTTTTTGCAGATCTGACCCTGCTGAGTAAGTCTACTCCAGACTTAGAGCCCTGGCATGAGCCAAGGAATTCCCCTTTATCCCAAAAACCTTGGCACGAAGGCATGGCTTCGTGGTGCCCAGGAGTCCCTGGCTTGCTGGCTGCTTCAGCTGTAGCTTTTAGCTCGTCTCGGACTTTTCATATGAGATCCGTATAAAGCTGCTGCACACTCGTACATCATCCTAAGAACAAAACAATTGAATTCCCAGTTGCACAAAGGGATTGTGTGTTCTTCCATATCCTTGAGAAATCCTCAGGGCCTGTTTGCAAGCAGCTTCCTCGAAATGCAATGTTTTTTCCACGAGTCTTTAGGGAGAGAAGCATTTTTTCCCTGTCTCTCCCTCCTCTCCATCCGAAGCCAACAAAAAGCATCTCTCTGCTATTGTGGGAGCTGGTTGGGCCATCTCTGGCTGGAGCCCAGCTGCCCAGCTTTCCACCTGCAGCAAAATCTGCATCTTCACAGCAGTCTTTAAAGCTGAGTTGCTCGTGGTGGCTCCKTCTAGTTTCCCCCTAGGTACAGAAATACCGTGCTCTGCCTGGTGCCCTTCTTGTGCTTAAGCCCTTGGCCATAGAAGGAGGCACCTTTAGCCACCTCACACTTGCACAGAGTCTCTGAGCAATCCACATATTGCAGAAGAAGCGATGTGCAAGCCCTGCTGCTAGAGGCAGGGGTTAGTTTGACACGGGCTTTTCCCTGCAGGCCAAGGATCTGCCGACGTTCAAGGACAACGACTTCCTAAACGAGGGCCAGAAGCTGCACGTTGGAGAGGAGAGTAAAAAGAACTTCCTTGAGAAGCTGAAGCGGGATGTGGAGGTAGAGTTTCCTGGGGGGCAGCTCTCACCCCGAGAGGGTCTCCCATAACTGCATCTTCACCGCGGCTGGTGGCCCGAGGCTACAGCAGCAACTGACAAGCGGTYGTTCCTTGAACAGCCAAGCAAATACAGTCAGGATTACGCTGGTGGCAGGGGCCATAGGAGCTGTGTAGACTCAGTGGGGTCTGATAAGGGTTTAGCTCTCACCACGGCCTTTTCGTAGGCAGATGCTGGCAGAGTAGGAGTGAGGGTCCCCTGCCCACGCTCCTGTTCTCACACATCTCTCTCTCCCAGTTTCTAGCTCAACTGAAGATCATGGACTACAGCCTGCTGGTTGGGATCCATGATGTTGACCGGGCAGAGCAGGAAGAGATGGAAGTAGAGGATCGGGCAGAGGATGAGGAGTGTGAGAATGATGGGCTCAGTGGCAACCCCATTTCCTCCTATGGCACCCCCCCTGACAGCCCGGGCAATCTCCTCAACTACCCTCGTTTCTTCGGGCCTGGAGAGTTTGATCCTTCTGTCGATGTCTATGCTATGAAAAGCCACGAAAGTGAGTATCATGGAGCCTTGTCTGGAGTTCAGCCGGGCTAAGGGGAGCAGAGGGGCTGTCTCCAGAGAGAAGGACCCTGSCGGGTCCCTCACCTTCTCTGACAACGTCCCTGGTTGTGGACGCTGTGAGTTAGAAGGGATGGAAGCGACGCCCGGAGAGCAGTGGGGTTTTGGGGAACGTGTGAGACTCCAACCTGCCGCTTTCAGTCATTCTTTGTGCCCTTCTGCAGCATCCCGGTGCCTTGCTTGCTTTGCCGACTGCCTCAAGATAGTCGTGCAATATATTTCTTGAAGAGTGGGGTGCCTGGGCTGTGCTCGCAGCTCTTTGCTCACAGCTCAGGGTGCTCTAGCGACTCTCTTGCCTTGCTAGGTGCTCCCAAGAAGGAAGTTTACTTCATGGCCATTATAGACATTCTTACGCCGTACGATGCGAAGAAGAAAGCTGCACATGCTGCCAAAACAGTGAAACATGGGGTAAGTGGCCGGCCACCCCCAAGGAGGATGGGCTTTGGGGCCTCTGCCTCGCTGCAGACCTGCACGAGTGTGTGAGACAGCTCCTGACACTGATTTTCCACCAGTCTGGAAATTCTCCAGCGGTTTCATGGACCACGGTGCGCAGATCTTCCCTCCTCCAGTCTCTTCAGGCTGTTTTGGGAGGGTTTTCCCTCTGGTGGTTGGTTCAGAACAGGGCCTGAGGCTCTCTGTTCAGCTTCGTTCTTGGAGCAGAACAGAGGGATCCAAACACAGAGTGTCTCCTGCTCCTTCCCAAATCTCCCCTGAAGGGATTTATCCCCTAAACCGTGAAGGTGCCTTCACTCAGTGGCCTCCACCAAATCCAGCTGGAGCTTAAATCAGCTCCCCTGAGGATCTCACGGGACCTCTTAGAGTGTTGGTTGTTTCTGGAATTCACAAGTCCATTTGTGAGTGTTCCTCGCTGTGCTGCCGCAGTCCCCCCCCGTCCTCCCCTGGTCGTGACTTCTCCCTCCTCTCTGCCTTGCAGGCTGGGGCAGAGATCTCCACCGTGAACCCAGAGCAGTACTCGAAACGCTTCAATGAATTTATGTCCAATATCCTGACATAGTCGTCTTCAACCTGCAGCGAGACGTGGAGAGAAGAGGGGCTACTTCCGAGCAGAGAATGCAGCCTGTGACACTAAAACAGACACTGTAGCAGCATGTGGGGTGTGCGTGTGTGAGCAGGAGCGAGTGTGTGGCACTGTGTGACTTCAAAGAAAACTAATTCTAGGTGCACCCTCCAACAGTCCACTTGACCCAGGTGGAAAAGTGGCTTTTTACGTTACAGAAGTGCCCAGACACCGATTTGAGGGCTTTTTAAACCGAGAAAAGTGCGTTGTTTYAGCACTGCTCTTTCTAATGACATTTTCTCCTCTCTGATCCAGAGAATCCTGTAGGGATGTGACATGTGGCACTGTGTAGAAGGGTCGCTCTAGATTATGTTCAGTGAGAGTGAAGCAGTGCCTGATTCCACAAACTACTACTACTTTTTTATTGGACTGTCTATCTGAAAGACACACAAGCCCTTTTATTTCCCTCTTGGTAGGAATTGGAAGGAAAATTGCTCACCATTTCGAGGATGGAAAATATTAATCTGACAAGAAGGAATCGCTGAACTTTAGGTAAATCAGACTGGGACACTTTATGTTTTTTGGGTTAATTTAAGTAAAGAAAACTTTTTTCTTTTTTTTTTTTTTTTTTGTAAATGCACTTGATATACAAGAACGATGAGGGAAATGAACATCTACCAAAGATGATCATGTTAAAAGGTGTAACTCCTAAGAGCCTAAAAAATCAGTGTGAGAAGAAGTAAAAGACCTTGAAGAGCCTCAGAAAATAATGTGCTCAGCCCTGTCATGCTTCCAATTGGCTAGCTATGAAAATTTCCTAAAGGAAGAGGAAAAAAAAACGCATTTTATACCTGTAGATTTGGAATAGCATTTGACTATGTGGAACATTTTCCTGTCCCCCCGCAGTCAGGAATTGCCGTGTCTCTTAGCTTACAGCTTCACATCACCGTTCTGCCAGTGTTAATCTAGCTGATGTTTGTCTTCCTAACTTGCCCAGGCTGCACCAGGTACTTGAATTCGTTTCCTGCCAGAGGTTCTTGGACTGGCTGGTGTATTTTTTAAAAGGCAACGCGACTTGCACGCGAAGGAATCGGCCTCGCTCCCGGGGCAGTGCTGCAGCTGCGGCTTTGGAGCCAGCTCCACTGCTTAAGAGGACTCGGAACTTGAGCTGTGACCRTTTTTATTCTCCTCTGCTCCGTGTCCCCTCTAGAGCGACAGTCGAGGAGCGGGAATGTTGGAACACTTGCGCCAGGTTGTTTTTTTTCCCCCCTAAGGAATTGGAACTGATTTGCGCGGCTGAATAATGTCCTGTTTTTTGTCTCCAGAATGCTTGTAGTAGTTTTCACAGCCAAGCTTGTCAGGCTTGCTTTGGGTTTCATTAGCTCTGCTGTACAGCAGCTGCAGACCGTCTGGTTCTTTTTTAAAAAAATTTTCTTTTTAAGCAGGATTTGGCGTTCGGAACAAACCTCTTGCAGTTGAACCATGTTGCTTATCTGCCTTGAAACTGTTTTCACCTATGCCTTTGTTTCGGGAATAAGCTGTTTTTGAATGTGTGTCCTGTGCCGCAAGGCGTGCTCCAGCTCGGCGGGCGGAATGTGCTCCTTTTCCGAGGTAACTGGTGCTCATCACATCCTGGTCAYGTCCCCAGGCCAGCACTCGCTCTGGTCTGGATGCTGAACGTGGGCTTGCGTTTTTCACCTTCCCCCTCCACATTCTTGATGGGAATCCCCCAGGTCTCGGCTTTGGAGGGGACAAAAAGGGGCTGAAGTTTGAGCCTGTAAGAGTGCACTGTAAATAGAGTCTTGAAGAAGTCAGAGTTYAATATTAGGGCTTGTCATGGGCTATAAGTTTTTTTTCTTCATTCGTGCATCATTCCCTTTGACGTTGGGACAGGTTTCCTCTGCCCCTGGAGTGCAGTCCCTGCCCGGTGCAGTGTTGGGGCTAACACACCCTTATCTGAGAGCCCAGAGCAGCTCGTGTCTTAAGGTGTGTCGCTGAAAAGCCACAAAACGAAGGTGAGATGGATGTGAGAACACGAGGGGAGGAAATAGAGGGTAGTATCTGTTAAGTTTTGTGGCCACTGCACCGGCTGCTTTTCTCTTAAACAATAAGCACTTAAGTTTACTGCACATTAGAAATTAAATACCAGTCGCTTTTTATTCCTGACAGTTTTTAAATCGGCAGTGAATCTGCAACTTTGGCCTGGTAAGTTCGCCTTTCTCCTTTGGGGGAATTAACTGGTACCTTTTAAACTGGTTTTTTTAATCTTCAAATCATTTTTTAAAAAAGAAATGAAAATGGGGGAGGAAGAGAGGAGGGAATTATTAAACTGCAGATAGGCTATGAAGAGGCATTACAGACAACCCAAAGACAGTAAAGAATGGAGCTTGCGTAGCGAGGAGCAAAAATCTCATTCACTGGATTTCATAAACAGGAATGCAATTAAAATGCAGTTAGTTCCTGCAGCAATCTTCGCAGAACTCATGATGCTAAGGGCTCAAGAGTAGTTAACTGTATTTGCTTACCCTCCTCCAAATGGGGAGGAAAGCTCCTGCTAGAATTAAATTGGCTGTCTCTGGCTCAAGTCCTATAAAAAGCCCTATAAAGCCTACAGACTTTTAGCACTTCCCCAACTCTGCCCCTTCTGTCGAGTTGCCATACTGTGTGTATTAAAGTAATTAAATGCAATTTTTCTCACTTAAATATGTATTACCCAGGTATGTAACTTTGTTTAACATAAGCATTTTGTATATTGTTTACATTTGGAGAGGTAGCATTATGTTAAAGTGCTAATTTTTGTTTCTAGACAGTATTTTTATTACAAGAATAAGACGTGAAGCTGCAAATATTTGATTTGTTTTAAAAGGGATTTTTTGCTTTTTTTTCTTTTTTTCTTTTTTTAATTCTTGTTTTAGGTCACTTTTTTAACTCAAGTATTTAAAAAGAACCCYCCCAGCCCCTTCCATCCCGGTTTTACAACTGCTTGTGCTAGTTTGTTGTCTGTTTCTGGCGTGGATTTAGTTCTAGCTTGCCGAATGTCGCTGCTTGTCTGTGGCACGACCCTGCAGAACACTTTACACTGAAGTGCGTTTGCCCGATGGCCCCGGCGCCGCTCAAAGCGTTGCCCTAGGTAGGTGGATGGCTCGGCTCCCTGTCAGAACGCAGGAGAATCTCTGGCGTGCGGCGTTACCGCTTGCTTGCTTCGAGAAATTGCAGTGCGATTCTTGCTCAACTGGAGTTTGTGAGTTTGGGATTTTTGGGGTTTTTTTTTGTTGTTGTTGTTGTTTTTACAAAGATACCTTAGTGCGCAGAGTGTCTCTGCAGGACCTGAAGGCAGTTTGTGTTTGGGAAGGGAGCTGCAGGATTCTTCGTTGTCTCTCTGAGCACAGACCTGATTGTCAGAATCAAGGACTAAAAGGCTGCCTGGAAGCTCAGACGTGTCGCCTCCCCTTCGAGAGAGCTCCTGGGGCGTCGCAAGAGCGCGGGAGGAAAGGCAGAGTGGGGAGTCCCGCTTTGGGTGCTGTTCCGCCCCAGTAGTGCAATAAGCAGCCCCTCGAGGAGGTGATGGGTCCCCTTGGTGGAGGTAGCACCCCCGTCCTCGGTGTCCCCCTCGGGTCCCCGCCAGGACCAGGCCAGGTGGCAGCAGGAGCAGGGGTTTCTTCCCTCGCCTCCTGCGCCGCCTCCGCTTGACCTCCTTTAATTACAAAAGCCGCGAGCAGGCGGTTTCCCCCCGCGCAAACTTCACAGGTAGCGGGTGGCTACAAATTCCCTCCATTAGCGAGGCTGTCATCCCACATCCCAAAATCCTAGTTGTTTTTAAATCAGATTATCRTGATAGCAAAACCACTAAAGCCCTCGAGTTCTGGTCGCTGCGGAGCACGAGCACAGCGACCTGCGAGTGCGGAGCAGCCTCTGGGGCCGCCGGGGGTTGCAGCGCGGTTGAGGACGGGGCAGCGCTGTGTCCTGCCAGCCCTCGTGCCCTGCAGTCCTTGCAGGTGCCTCCTTTCAAGCTGCACCAAGGGTGCAAATGTTCCCCGTGGTGCTGGTGCAGACCTTGCAGCAGTCGGTGCATGCACTGCGACTGGGTTTGCGTCCCTGCGCCCGGTCACTGCAGCAATAGCTGCAAAAACGGGAGCGCTTTCAAAAACCAGAGCTGTTCTCTGCCCGTCTGTGGTTTTAATGCCCCGTTTCAGGTTTGCCTCTCGCCTTCCCCTGCTTCTGCAGAGCCATTCTCCAGTATCCGTATTAGCCACTACTGATTTTCCTTGCTCTTGGAGACGAGTTCTTGTGTAATAGCAATGGCAGAGCTCGGGGAGCCGACTTCTGGGCATGGAGCATTGCTAGCGCCTTCAGTTTTCCCCACTCAGAACTCCTGCTGTTCTCCGTTTAGCTGCCACGTGCAGCCAGGTTGAGTTGCGGCCAGGGGGAGCCTATTACACACAAGTCCCAAAGGTGGGCAGGACTAATCAGTGCAACTGAAACAAAAATGTGAATAAATTAAGTTTAATCTAAAAAGAAAAAAATCTAGGTTTTTTTCACTGCTGTTTTTTAAATAGGAATTTTAAGTCCTCTGTGCTTGTCTGTTTGCTAGGAGCAGTTTGAGACACTGTTACTGTTTTGAAATGCATGCATGTTAYAAGATGAGTCTCCAACCAGAGAAAAATAAAATTAAAACTTTGTGTACATCTGCTCTTTATTGTTGTCTTCTTCGAAGTGTTCTAATCAGCTGTTACTTTGTGAGGTTTGTGCTCATTTTAAGAGTCTTAGATTTACTACAGCTGGAAAATACCTGTTTATACGTGCCTGCACCTTGAAACTGTTATTAAAAAAGAGCTGAATCTACCCCAAATACTGGATTTGAGAACAATTTAGAGCTGAGGGGAAGAACTGCCGCCAAAGGCAGACCTGATGTTAAGTCGCTGAAAGATATAGAGTTAACTGCGGGATTACTTACAGGTAGCTCAGAGAAAGGGAGGCTCTTTTGAGAGCTTCCGAGGGAGATGAGAACTTAATCCTAATGTTCAGACTTAAGAAAATGAGAACTTAACTACACTAGAGGAAAAGCGTTTTATTTAWAAAAGTTCCAAGCGGCGTGGGAGGTGAAAGGCCGGAGCAGCGGTGCTAGTCCATGCGAGCTTTCAGCGTCCTCGTGGTGATCTTGTCTTTTTCACTACGGGGAGAGAGAGCAAGGAGCCCGATAAGAAATTGGTGCTAAATATCTCCAGCCTGTCGTTTGCTCGGGAAGGGGGAGTGCAGGGCAGACGGGAAGAGCAGCACTTACATGATGTGTACTACTACACCCATCCCGGACAGGGCATCTCTGTCCACTGCATTCAGCATGGCCTGGGAGATCGTTTCAAAGAGCTGATCTGGTTCCTGAAAAACAGAAGCTACTTTAGTAGGTGCGAAAAAACAGATCGCCGAGGCCCCAGATCCTCTTCCAACCCCATTACCACCCAAGAGGCTACAAGATTCTTCCTGCAAGCTGCTGTAAGCTACAGCCTCTTCTCTCGAGCTCCTGGCCACCTCGGAGGACAAAGCCTCACCCAAGCGGGAGCTCTCGTGTTTCCCGGTAACGGGGAATGGGGATGGAGGAATGGGAGCTGATGCACCAGCTCCCTCGCTCACCATGTCGGGCTCCCAGAGGGACTCGCACATTCCATACATCTGCTCCGAGCAGGTGCCGCTGACCACAAAGTCATCAGTGACCATGGGGCAGCCGATCAGGTCTAGGGAGCAGACGAAAGGTTCGTACGTTACGGGGTCCAGACCAGCAATGACTGGTTCTGTGTAATATGGTCCAAACCTGTGAAGAAAACAGGACAGGGCAGTCCAACCACCCTGATGCAGCTCAGGTCTCACCTAAACAACCACGTAAGATTATTCTAAGCAGTAAGATCTAAAGGGACTCCTGAGCTTGGACAGATTTTAAATAACAAGTTTGAGTATTTATCAAATAATTTAGATTTGACAGAATACAGTTAAGACGGACTGAAGCTGAACTCTCCTGCAGACCAAGATGTATTTTCCAGCATTTTCCTCCTAGCTGCTCTTTCCTGTGTGAGGACGGGCTCTTGCTCCCCGTCAGTCACACATCAGCTTTGTGTCTGTGCTTCAGTCCTAGGCCACGTGCAGTACAGCGGCTCATTCRTTGCTGCTACCAAGCTGCAGGAATTGCAATGATCAGAAAGGCTGGGCCGTGGTTAGGAGGAGGCCAGATGTGTTATTGACAGAGCAGTAGCTCAGCTAACACCGTCTCTAAATTAAAGGTTTTCCTCCCCATGCTGCAGGTCCCCGGGCCTCCCAGCGCAGGCTGCCTGCACGCACGGGGTGGAAGCGACGCTGCCGTTGGACAGTTACCGTCTCTCATAGAGCAGATTAGAAACCATGCTCATGAACGTCTGCGGCTTGATCTGCCTGCCCTCCTTCAGCTCGTACAGGTTCAGCCTGAACTTCAGTCTCTGGGCACTGCAGAAAGAGAAGAGGGAGAGGAGAGGGAGAGGGAGAGGAGAGGAGAGGAAGCGTTAGGTGCAGAAGGAATCTGCTTCTAGCTGATGCTCACGCAGGCCTGGAGGGCTGTCCAGCCTGCTGAGCAGCACTACCCGCGGGGGACGGGTGCTCCAGGGGCACCTCCTTTTACACCTGAACTTGTCACCTCTTCCTAGCGAGGGGCTCTCCATTCCGATGTGCTTTTATCAAAGAACAACCCCCCCTCCTCCCATATTCCAAAATTAGGCAGGAGCTTAATAAGCCCAAGAAGCAGAGGAGTAAGAATCAATGATACCACCTCTGTGCCATGAAATCAAAGAGAAACAAGGACGGGAACTGGAGTCTTTCGCTGGCCTGGGTAAACCCCAGTGAGCGGAGACCAAGGCTGCAGGTCTCCCTGCTCCTACTTAAGCTCGACACAAGCGTCGGCCTAGAGGGCCCGGCCGGGCCGGGGCGGCACCTACACGGTCTGCACGTCGGTGGCGAGCCCCGCCAGGCCGATGTAGAGCCGCTCTCCCATGGGGAAGATCTTCTGGAAGTCCGTGGTCACCATCTGCGCCTGGATGCCGAAGCGCCGGTCGGCCGCGATGGCCACGCAGCCCTTGCCCTTCATGGCCATGACGGCCCCGCCGTTATAGGACATAATCGACTGCGAGGGAGACGGCAAATAAGGCCCCAAACAGCCCAAAGATCCGTGTGCCCCCGCTCTGGTCTCAGCCCAGGACCCACCTCCCGCTCCCCCCCGCGCCCCCAGCCCCCAGGGACCCCCCGGCCCTCACCATGGTGCCGCCCGCAGAGTCACCGCCACCACCACAGTCACCACGGCCGGCGCACCCAACCCCGCCGCCCG